CTAAAACAGAATATTGAAACAAGAAAAAAAAAAAGTTTAGTATGAAACAGATAGCATTTTTCAGAGGCAAGTTTGATGACCGAAAACCTTATGTTCACAATGAAACCAGGAACATACATTAAGAACATCACAGGATCACTTTTGATTTAATTTTGACTTGACTATTTTAGCCAGTTATATCCATTCACATGATTTTTATGGTAGTACAGCAGCATACCATATAATAGAAGTCCTTGCTCTGTTTCCAATATTCTATTATCACGCTGTTGTTTTAATTGAACCTCTAAGGATAAGCATTTCCCAAGTCAATGTTAATGTGCATGTTCATATGCACATATTATTCCAATAACATCACGGTCCTAAGTGCAACCACCCTGGGAAATTGACCAAACGCTGTCTTGTGGACGCTCAGAGCTTCAATTGAAAGCATCAGGACAGGTTGCATTCAACAACACAACACTCATTAATCTATGAATATTTAAACCGTCACTTTAATATCATTGACACGCATGAACTTTGTGGCGGTCACCAATTGCAACAGGTGACCATGAGTAATTATGCAGATTTATTCAAGACATTAGCATGATTAATTAGGTGCAAACCGAGGTGGCTACACTTGAATTAGTAAGCATTATGAATAATTACCATGCATATTTTGCTCTTTATGTGGCTGGGTTTCGTGATAAACAAAGCTTTAATTACGAGAAAACATCTGGGAATAGTAGTGACCTTCATTAATCTTACGCAAATTCCCTCAGCTCTACACCCTGATGCATAATTATTGCATTAATAACAGAGGCTGCACTGTATTAGTCCACTTGAGGAAATTCATACTATTGCCCTTTAATAAGCAAAAAAAAAACTAAAAAAGTTATAACCTGCTGCACTGAGAAACAAATGCTTTGAGAATGTAGCTACTCTTTTCCATATACTGAAAATGGGACCAGGCCTGTAAAGCTCCAAAATGACAAAAACATATCAGAAAATGATCATGACTAATTCACTATATTCCAAATATATCATACGATAGCTTTGTGTGATGAATAAGCTGAAATGTTGTTATTCATTGATAATATTCTCTTCCACTGCACCTTTTGAATGAAATATTGGATCATTCAGTGAATAATGAAATACATTTTCATTCAAAATAAACTCTCATACAGTTACCATATTGCTTTAGAAGACCTGGTATGTCATATAAAGTACTTTTATGATAAATAAAGGCTGCTTTTTTTTGTCATCTTGGAGCTAAACAACCTAATGCTGTATTCCATTTGTACTCAGTTGAAAATTCCCGGTTCCCAGTATAGGAACTGTTAACTGGAATGCCCTCCCAAGCCGGAGTTTCAACTTGGAATCTCGGAGGAATCGCAACAGCTCCAAGTTCAGAACCCAATATGGCTGCTCAGTGCATCAACAGAAGAGAAACTGTAGTAATATAATGGTTTATTAGCACTTATGTTTGTCTGTGTCTTGATAAACTCAGTGGTGCACATAGTACTTGTCAAACTGTATTTGTGGATGTGATACTATAGCATTATGTGTGCAAAATACTGCTTTTTATGTGTTTTTAATCAACTGGTATTGATAACAATGGACACGTCCACTGGTTTTACATTCCCAACTTTGACATTCAACTTCCGAGGTAAATGGAACGCAGCACAAGTCCCCATTAACTTTCATTATATGAGGACTGGCTAGTTTATTCTTCAAATATTCTCCTTGAGTGTTTCACAGAAGAAATGTCTTATGGGTTTGTAACAACATATTGGTGAGTAAATGACAGAATTTTCATTTTTGGGTGAACAAATTCCTTACCAGATCACATATGTACTTAGACATCTGCCATTTTTTAAGTTTTCAGCAACTCTCCAAGTCCAAAACGTCAAAAGGTGTGATAGATGAGAACAGCAGAGGAAAGGGTGAAAGGTTTGTCCTCTCGCAGTGACTGCCTCTTTGGCCTGACTTCACACAAACAGATCACCAACTATGAAAAGGACCAGAATCTAAAAGAGGGGATCAGTTTTCCCTGAGTCTAACCACTTACCCAGCAGAGCTCATACACACACACACACACACACACACTTCATGTCAGGGTTGTCAAAGTAACCTGATCCTAAGGCCTCCTGACATGCAGCAGTCCAGTCTGTGCTCTCTCTGCCCATACACTCTGGCTGTAAAACAAAGGAATTGCTTCCACATGTTTCTAAAGGCTGCAGAGTCTCAGGGTACAAATCTTCAGAATGGGACCCTCCTCTGCCAGGACACTTGCTCGCTTTCTCTCTCTCTCTCTCTCAATACACACACGTGCATGCATGTCAAAACTGCCATCTAGTGTAGTCTTGATGCAGCAGTCCAGTCTGTGCTCTCTCTGCCCATACACTCTGGCTGTAAAACAAAGGAATTGCTTCCACATGTTTCTAAAGGCTGCAGAGTCTCAGGGTACAAATCTTCAGAATGGGACCCTCCTCTGCCAGGACACTTGCTCGCTTTCTCTCTCTCTCTCAATACACACACGTACATGCATGTCAAAACTGCCATCTAGTGTAGTCTTGAACTAAAAAAAAAGAAAAGAAAAAAAAGCTTTTTTTTTTTATTATTACAGTTTACCGTTAATTGATTTATTTACATGAACATATGTACCATTAGTTCAAAAATACTCTGCATTTTAGCTATATCAGCTTAATAATACCAAGTAAAGTGAGTAATACCAAACATATTTAATCAGATTTATTCTGTGAGCTGTGCATAAAAGGATGCTAATTGACTTAAAGTAAATTTAATTTCTAACCAGACCAATATACTTGTGTATATTAATATGCCACAGTTTCATGCAAAATGAATACTCTGCATTTTAGCTATATCAGCTTAATAATACCAAGTAAAGTGAGTAATACCAAACATATTTAATCAGATTTATTCTGTGAGCTGTGCATAAAAGGATGCTAATTGACTTAAAAAGTACATTTCATTTCTAACCAGACCAATATACTTGTGTATATTAATATGCCACAGTTTCATGCAAAATGGACAAGGTTTTTTAAAAGTCACTTTAATAGGTTAAATACTTAAGGCAAACCTTAAACTAAATAAGGTCCCACTTAATGAACACTGATCACCATAATATTGACTTAAAATGAACATGATAAAACAGTGGTGAATTAAAATAAATGTAACATAAAATTGCAATGATCATACTAAACAAAATTGTGAAGACAACCATAATTAACCACATACTAATTAACAACGCCAACCATTTAAGCCGGTATGTTGTCCAGGCCTGAATAGTTAAACATAAGCTTGTAGCCACTCCCCTCAGACACAAAGCAATAGATTCACAGACATGACCCAAGCCGAAATAACTCCTATTGTTTAATTTTACTACTAGTAGCCTTCAAAAGAAAAAAAAAGAAAATTCTAAACTGTTTCAAACAGGTTTCCCTGTGAACACCCCCATCTGCTATTGGTCAGCAAAAACATAGCCATGCCCCACAAGCATGCCATTGGTTTACCAAAGGTTAAACATAGCGAAAAAAAATTTAGAATCAAAAATTGTTTTAAAAACATACTTGTTCTTGTGACCATATCAGCACGTTACAACAGAAAACTAAATATGACAAAACTGTCAATACAACATTTTGCTAAATGAAGTGACATAAAATGCTGGTGTGAACTACTCATCCACTGTTTGACAGAAAATGTTGTAAGATGTATGTTATACTCACAACATCAAGAGACCAAGTCCTGTTTTGTCATAATGAACACTAAGAAATAAAATGGGGAAATAGTGACAATAATAAAGCCAAATACAGATATATTTCAGTGTTATGCTTTATTATTATGCTTGCTTCATTGCCAGCTATTTTCAATATTAAAAGCAATGCTGTATCCCATCACAACTGCAATTAATAGAAAAATTCTATAAACTGACATGCTTTAAAAACATGTTAGAAGTCCATTAATTTGATAAAGTGAAGCTGCTAAATTGTTTATATAATACGCATAGTCAGCTCTGTTGTGTTTTAGTTTGTATTTCTTCTTTCTTCTGCCGTTTTTGCTTAATTTAAGAGATTTTGTCAAACAAAGCAAAATTCATACCCTATACACCTCCACCAAACGTATGAGTCTTTTCTTCAAGCCAGTCTTGACTTACTGGTTGTTCATTAACCTAATTACTTAAAACTAACATAATAACCAGGAGTACTTCTTATACTGGGCAGCAGACAAAGTCTAATTTGCATATAGAGACTTAATGAGTGCATGGCAGCAGGTGCAGGAGGATGATAATTATCAGTAATGATAGTCACCTGTGACCATCCCCACCTTTTCACAAGGTTCATGCCGTTATAACAAACTTAACATGAACATCACGGACTGCATAACTGCAGAAAAAGCAAGTGAAACAAAAATGAAAGAGCAAACGGCTTATGTATATAGCATACAAAGTTATTCCTGACTGATAGGTTTGAAAAGTATTGCGTCATTATTGCTGACTGATAGAAAATGAGAATGAACGCGAAATACTCTGTATGTTTTAATGAACAAGTACATTTTTGACAAATCAAGTCAAGCCCTGACAACTGTACGTGTTTTGTTTTCTTTAGATGAGATATGGAGTGTTGCCGCCCTCTACTGGTGATGTGCACAATGTGCAATACACAACACAGACTGTGCACACGAATAGAGCTACTACCAAAAAATACAATAAAAAATAAAAATACTTGCTAAAAAGCAATTAGCTCTCTTTAAGACAGGCCTTTATATAATATAATTCTGATATATTGTTTTCACCATTTATTGCAGTGCTGGTCTATAGTGAATTTGATTTACCCAAGTAGTCCTCACTTATCATCAACCAACAGATTTGAGGGTTAGATTTTACACAAAGAGGTATTTTATATATTTTAGGTATTTTATGTACAACAGAAAATCAAAGATCAGCCTTTGCTATGATTTGAGAGAGTCGAGCGATTACGTAATCTGCCACGTGACTACGTAACTGCCCACAAACAAACATGGCGCACCACACTCGTTGTTTACAGGTCTGTCTTCTAGTTTTGAGAACGTATTTTAACATCCAGAGTAATTTAATTCAATGTCTTCATGCCGTCCAAAGACAATGTCATAGACAACGTCTACGCTCAAGACGACAGGTCAGTTATTATTGTTTTTTGTTTATGCATTAAAGATGTGCAGGTTTCCCGCGCGTCCTGGAAAACCAACCATTTTACAAAGTACTTACAATGGAGGAATTTCCTCGGTGTCCTTTAAAATAATTAGCTACGTTATAGTTAAACTGTACAAAGCACGATCCAGTCTGGGGGGCGGGATGTTTTCAAACCAGTTATATTTCTGTAAAATACTTAAATATGCAATCAACTGTCCATTTTCTCCGAGGCATCATATATCAAAGTACTTACAATGGAGGAATTTCCTCGGTGTCCTTTAAAATAATTAGCTACGTTATAGTTAAACTGTACAAAGCACGATCCAGTCTGGGGGCGGGATGTTTTCAAACCAGTTATATTTCTGTAAAATAATTAAATATGCAATCAACTGTCCATTTTCTCCGAGGCATCATATATCGGAGCATTTCTGGTTATGTGTTGGCCTGGCACAAATTCATTGCAAAAAAGTGTCAATAATGAATATAAATATACAATTTCTTTATAAAGAATCTTTGTGTCTTCTGTTTTCCCTTTCCTGAAACATTCAAACATCTTTTTTTAGCACTGTGTTTATTCCTTTAAATTTGGTCGGAATGTTTTTAAAAAATAGTTGGATGTTTTAAAATGAATAACATTCTTCCATTAATTTTTTGGAGATATACTGTTTTTTGTGTGACCCTTGTAAACGTATTTTTTAAATGGGTAAAGGTCACATTCATTCATGCATGTAAATATAAGAAATGCAAACTTGCTTTAAGTTTTAAACAAAGTAGAAAGACAAAAATATGCTTTAAGCATTATTTGTATTGCCATAACAGAAAGCTGGCATTATATAATATCTGTTCACCTTCATTTTCTTAACAGATAGCCTTGGTGATCATGAGAAGACGGACATCTGCTGTGTGGTCCTATCCTCGAGAGCACAAGTGGTGGGATACCATTGTACCTGAATTCACTCCAGAACAGTTCATCCAGAATTTTCGGGTCTCACGGGAGTCTTTTGAGTACATCTGTTGTCGCCTCAAGCATGTGCTTGAACGAAGGAATACCAATTTCCGCTTGTGTGTACCTGTAAAAAAACGAATTGCCATTGCCCTTTGGAAGCTTGCCACTGGCAATGAGTACAGAAGTGTCAGTCAGCTTTTCGGGGTTGGCGTGAGCACTGTATTCAACTGTGTGCAGGACTTCTGCAACGCTGTAATTAAAGTTCTTCTGCCTGTACACATTAAATTCCCAGATTCAAGAAAGTTGAAAGAGATGGCAGATGTTTTTGAAAATCGCTGGAACGTTCCTCAATGTGTGGGTGCAATAGATGGAAGCCACATTCCAATAATAGCACCTGAAAAATACCCTCGTGACTATTTTAACAGGAAAGGATGGCATTCAATAGTAATGCAAGCAGTAGTGGATGGCAAAGGGCTTTTCTGGGATTTGTGTGTTGGCCATCCTGGGAGCGTACATGATGCGAGGGTCCTAAGACAGTCTTATTTGTGGAAGATGTTGAATGATGGACACCCGTTAAACCAAAGCAAAGTACACATCTCTGGTTGTGATGTTGGATACTACCTGATTGGAGACTCAGCCTATCCCTTGCAAAACTGGCTGATGAAGCCATTTCCAGACACGGGCAGACTAACCCCACAGCAGCAAAGGTTCAATCTCAGGTTGAGTAGTGCAAGGTTAGTTGTGGACTCAAGTTTTGGAAGGCTAAAGGCAAGATGGAGGTGCCTCTTAAAAAGGAATGACTGTAAACTGGAGCTGATAAAGAAGATGGTTTTGACCTGCTGTGTGCTGCACAATATCTGTGAGGAACGTGACCACTTCAGTGAAGACCTTTCAGCCATCCATATGTACATGCAGCCTCCCGTTCAGGCATTAATAGATCACGGACAACCAGAAGGGACGGATGTACAAGCTGCATTATTAGACTACTTTAACAGACAGGACAGTGAAATTATTCAAGTAGCAGTTTAATTTTATTACTTTTTCTATTGTTTTTCCTCAGATCCTTACTTGCTGATGGTGTGAATGTTCAATAAATGTTCCAAAATTTAGATGTATATTGATTTATTATAAAAATGAATTGCAATAAAAAAATGCAAATAAATTTGACAAACGTAAAGTGTTAATCTGTAAAGTACAAAGACATACAAAAGCAAACTTGAGACACACGTGTATGAAGCAACAACACACAAAGTAAACAATGAACAAATGTTACAATTTTTTTAACAGCATTTGTAACCAATTTTAATTCTGCGATGTAAATTCCATCATCCAACATACTGTATGTTGATGCTGTTTTATGTAGAGAAGGGAATATTCCTTCTTTTTGGACTCTAATTATGTTACTACTAACACTTTTTCATTGTGACAAAGAGCAGCAAGGAACAATCTATCAGTAAACATTTTAGGAAGGGAAAATGGCATGAAGGAAATGGCTCAACCACATTACAGGAATTTTTCAGGCTATATCAGCCAGAATGTAGATAAGTGATGTAATGTCTCTGTGTAGAAAGTAGAAACCATAGAATGCAAGATAACGCCACGTTCTTTGGAGCAAACTTTAATATTGGGCAATAACACAGCCTTTATTCCAAGAAATCTGATGGTGAGGGTTCAGCCAAGCTCTTGAACCTGTAGAACAGATGAAATACACCAAAAAAACAGGACAAAAAGGTGTTAATGTGAATACATCAGTATACTAAGTGATAAATAAAAAGATTCAGATCATGCAAAATGCTCACAAGGGTTATCTTGCCATTTACAACAAGCATTTTTCTCAACCTTTCTTCTCACTTCAATCACACAGTAATGTATACATCAACATACTACATAACACTGATTAATGTTGCCCACTAAACTAGTTATTCATATAGCTTTACTGATGATATACATACAGACCCATACAATAACATTACTGTTACTAATTTCATGGTAGCTCCTCCAAAATATAGCTAGCAAGATGGCAAATAATCCCTTCAGCCTCATGTACAGTTGTGATTACAATGCAATTCTGGAAAAGCGTTACTTGCTCATGCCAGCTTACGGCCTAAAACACCAGGATGGACTTACTTTTCATTGTCTTCTTGACTGATATCAAGTATGTTTGTGAAATCTGTTGGGTCCTTTATGGTGCACGATGAACGCTTGTTGACATCAATGTCAATGGTGCTCTCTTCCATCTGTGGCCTTTTATTCAAAGTCATGAAGGGAGTTTGCGTTTGTGTCGTAATGGTTTCACCTGAATCAATGAAATTTCAACACACAAATTAAAATCAAATCCAATAAACACAAGAAAACAGTTTATTCATGGTTAATGTGATGTAGCTAGAAGCCTATAAGTTTACCTTTACTCCTGTCAAACACATCTGGGTTTGCTACACTATTTCCACAAGCTATTCATGGTCTCTATATGACAGGTGGGTGGAGGGGAGGAGTTGATGTTGTCAAGCATAAAAAAAGTAATTTCATGGGTAGAACAAGTTATTATATTTTGAAGACAGATTAACAAAAAAATGTCTGTAATACAATGCACAAAACAATAATTCCAAATAAAACCTGGAATGTATATTAATAAAGTAACTTGAGGTACAATTTCAGTTTCGCTTCGACTTTGAAATGTAAAAAGTGTGCAAATGAGAATTAAGCGTGCAAAAGGAATCCTGTGCTCATGGCTTATTTCCCTGCTGTTCCTCCATTAGTGCCACCATGCGTCCTAATAGTCCCAGCATAGAATTCGTAGCTTCATCCATTTTATTAAGAATGGCAGTATTAAGTTCTTTGGCGTGTGCCATAAACCGTTCATCGGCAGTTTTCAAGTATTCCAGCAGCTCCTGGTTTGAATCTCTCTTCTTTATTCTGGTTGTTCCCAGAGGCTTTCTTGGTTGGGGATGAGAGGAGCTAAAAGATGATTCAGCTTGGTCCAGCACTTCCTCAAGTGAAGAGTCTGTATTCAATATAATAAAAGCAGCACATTACTTGAAGATCTAAATGTAGCAAATAGTGCATTTACATAATAATCTTGTCACACATATGAGGATAGCAAAATTTGCAATGTGAGCTATTCCTTTGCAGAATACATTAGGCAAGTGTGTAGAAAAGAGAACAACAAAGAAAGACGGTAATGAAAACTTACTGAGATCAGCTGCAGAAGACAGCGATTCCGTATTCGTCTCAAGCATGGCTGTTGCTGAATTTAATGCTTCAGTAAATTGACTCGCTGGTAGGCGTTCCAGTGCAGCGTCCATAACATCATAGTTAATGGTTTTATTGCTCCATTGGCTGCCACTTTTACTTTTCTCCTTATTGTCCCTGAACTCCTTTTTAAGTTTTTTTAGTTTGTTAATGATTTGGTCGGTTGTACGAGTAAACCCATTGTTTACCATCTCTTGACATATGTCCTCATACACTCTTTTCCTTCTTTTTGAGCTCCCCAGTTTCTCCTGGATCTCTGTGGAAGACCATATAGCAAGCAGCGCACTGGTTTCTTTTGAAGACCACAGCTGAGCAGTTTTGGGCTCGGCTATTTTGCTACCTACAAACAAAAGACTCATTAGTCAAGGTCGCCACACTTCACTGCATAGACGAAAGTTATTTACAACGAAGTCCACTTTGATAACAGTCAGTCAGACTTGTTTTCACTTAAATTAAAGTGATTGCAAAGTAACCTCAAATCTCTTTTTGTTCTACTTTAATTGTGACAAGGTGTCGGGCCACTTTTCTCACTGTGTTTTTGTCCTAAATAGTTTGACAAACTACCGGTTTAGTCAGGGGGTGATCAGACTTTTTCTTTTTATTCAAATTATGTTTTCTGTAACCTACATTATAAACTTGCAGTCCAAAAAAAGACTACTACATTGTTAGACTAGTCTAAGCAGTTTACGCAACCAGCCACTGTATATTATTATAATTATTATTCAACATTTCTGCATTTTTTTGTCGCAATTCCTTTACTTGAGCTTTTATTTTGAAGGCAACCTACAATAAAAGCAGACTACATGTTTATGTTTGGCTTTAAATTAATTAATTGTGCAACATCAGTAGCTAGAACAGTAACCAAGTAATATTACACAGCATAACCCTGTATACAGACACAACACTTACCTAGCTCGGCTACAGAAAACACGACAGAGTCCGCGTTTTTCTCAAGCGTGGCTGTCGCTGAATTCAAGGCCCCAGTCAGATGACTGGCTGGTCGGTGTTCTAGCACGGACTCCATAACGCCGTGGTCGAATGTTTTAGGAATCTGTCCACTGTCACTTTTACTTGGTTTCCTTTTCAGGTCCCTGTACTCCTTCCTAAGCTTTTTTAACTTGTTTATGATTTGTTCGGTCGAGCGACTGAAGCCACCGTTCAGCATTTCCTGGCTTATCTCATCGTAAACTCTTTTCTTCCTTATCGAGCTCTCCAGTTTCTCCTGGATCTCTGTGGAAGACCATATCGCGAGCAGCACGCTGGTTTCCTCTGAAGACCAGTGATGTGTATTTCTGTTTTCGGACATTTTTGTAATATACAGTTAAAAGGCACGGTCTCTGCACACTGTTGCTGGGAGTTTTGAAAACGTTTCTTGGTGACGTCACATTTCCCGCCCCCCGGCATTATTGGTTCCTAGTTCAAAAAGGACGGTTGTGGCCATCAGATCAGAGCTCCTCCAAGCGGCTCTAAAATGCGCTACAACAATACTACAGTATGTGCATTGTGGAGAGTTTGATTAATGTCTGTCTCAAACTCGAATGTTTTAAATTTGTTCTCCAAAAAGATTAATTCCCTGGCTCTTTGTGAAGGTTACAGCGTCAAGTAAGTAGGGAGCGACAAGTGTGTTGTCAGTAACGTTACATCCCTGATACTGATGTTGTATCGAAAGGATCGATCCTCACATAAAAATATCGATTCTAAAGTGCATTTTTTTAACCATTAATTTTATTTACTTATCAAGAAATTCGGTGCATAAAATAAGCTTCTAAGTGGAAAAATAGCCTATATTAGCGAATAATTGTGTTGGATATGTTTTTATACAGTCTACTCATCGGAACTCACGCAAATGCTGAAAGACCGAACCAATCAATCACAGACAGCGTTCGCTGCTGAAGTATGGCTCAGTGCTTGTTCAAATAGGGCTGCGTTTCCCAAAAGCATCAGAAGCATAAGTAGATCTATAGAAGTTATTTTAATTGTTATATTTCACAATATTGCTTCTTTTACTGTTTTTTTTTTTCAAATAAGTGCAGCCTTGATGAGCATGAGACTTAAAAAAATTTACATAATCTTACTTGCCCCAAACTTTTGTGTACATGTACTATTTATTTTAAATTGGCTAGTTTGTGCAAGTACATTTATTTAAACTGGTTGTTAAAAGTTTAAATGGATTGTGTTATGTTCTGTAATTGCTGTTAATAAATCTGTCAGAAAAAATATGCAAAAACAGCTTGGCAGCCTTAAAAAAAATTATATTAGTATATAGTTTTATTACAGTAACCACAGTTTACCACAGTATTTGTAGTAAAACTGCAGTAACCACAAATTTACCATGGTAATAATACATTTTAGAACTTATGTAACACCATGTTTATTTTTCATGAGGTATCCTCAAAGGGGCACCTTTGTAACTTATCTACCCTTAAAGCATGCATACTTGCATGGTACTAATATGCTCCCTTTTAGGGGTATAGTTGCACCTTTGAGGTTACTGCACCAGTAAAGGGCTAAAATACAATTATAGTATATTTTATTTCTGACAGTGTAAACAAAAAAGGCCTATGAAATGTAAACAAATTGAGTATAATTACTAATTATATATTATTTTAATAATTTAAAAGATCAGTTTAGTTTAGAAGTATCGGTATCAATACCGATGATACTGGGCTTGAAAATATCGGTATCGGATCGGAAATGAAATAAGAGGTATCGCCCATCCCTAGTTGTCAGTGAGTCGTTGAATTGTTTACTCAACCGATTCGTTAACAGCATAGAGTCATTCTCGATGGAAACAAGTCTGATTTAACTTAGTGCCGTTTTAATTGTGTCAGTCAAAAACGCTTTCAAGTTGGGCAATTCCAAGTTCATGGACCAGCAAACTATGTAAGCTTTGCTTCTGATGTAAATAACGAGTCATAATTTGATGTAAATACAGAGATTGAGTGAGTAGCCT